GTGTAGCCTTGCGCGAAATTCAAAACAAAGAAACAAAGAAAGAAAAGAGATAGCGAAATAACAGTAAAGACAAGTTTAATATTAAATTATACTTTACAAGACAAAAATATTAAGTTTGGCACAAAAATTAGTGACATGTCAAAGCAAAATTGCTAAAAACAGCAGTTTATAAAATTAAATTTCTTTTATAACAGTTTGTAAAGTTGTTGAATTTTGCGCAAAGCTACTCGAGGAATATCTGCACAAACCGTCCATAGATAAACTTGAGGGAAGGCAGCTAGTCAGTATTGCTAACTCGCGTGCTATTCTAATCGAAGAGTGGGATTTGACAATCACTCTCATAACGCATCCACGTCCCCAAAGTGAAGGAGCGCGATTTTTATTTTTAATTATTATGGCAACTGGGAGTAAACCATAAAACCTCTGATTTATAGTCGGGCAATCTAACCATTAGGCCTCGCTCAGCCATTTTTTAAAGTTAAAACTTTTATTGGCTGATTTAAAACCGTACCTTCACTTAGTATTTTGGCACAGCGATAAGTCTGTATACTTATAACTCTAGACATCGGTTTTCGATACCCGTAGTGAGCACAGCACAGATAGTCCATTGTGTAGCTTTGTGCTCAACTACAAACTTAGTGTTTTTGAATTAAGAAACTAGCTTTTCAAGACAAGTTTAGTGATTAAGCTATAAATGAGTATCTTAAATCCATCTCATTAATGATTCTTTGATCTTGAGCTTCATCTCATTTGTTGGGCTGAGAGTGATTTAATTCTTAGCTGGGGACTTAACCGTCTAAAGTTCGAACCACGACATGCTGCTGAACACCAAAACTTTCAGCTGTGGAAGTGTTATAAGTGTGATATTTAATTCTTCTATCTTGTTACAGGCAGGATGCTGTCGACAGGTTAAAGTATCTTAAGTATCTCTGACATGGCCGCTCAGACTGAAAATACCAATACCAAAGCCTCATTATTTGTATTGCTTACATTTATAACAAATTATAAACAAAAAGAAATGGATGCAATAAACACATTACTTTGAATGATTGTAAGCACATGTAAG